TATATATAGCATTTGGGATGCATATGGGACTAGATAGAACTAAATGGGACTCAAAGAACTCAGAGGAAAAATCGTTTGAACCTCAAATTCCCACCTGTGTTACTCAGAACTATATTAGGGTTATTTCATCATTACACATAAACAGTAGCATTTTTAGTCAAATTAAGCTTTCTTTGCAGTGTGACTGGTGAGATTAAATGATCTGTACCTTTTTGCTTGAGCAACCAGTTTTCTCCAACAAGATGAAAATTGTACTATAACTCAAATATAGTACCTGTTAGATATAAAGTGAATTATGTGAATAGAGTTGTAATTTATAAAAGTGCTTATACTAAGATTTGGTTATGACGAGCTATTGATTTGCTAAAACTTGGAGAAACTACAATGAAGTGTTTATTGCATTAACTTTTACTTCATTAGTCTCTGAACTGTTTCTGTTCCCTCTTCCATTAAGAATAATCATTTGGCCAAGCTGCTGGCAGCTCACCATATCTGTAATCTTAGCTACACAGGAGGCTAAGATTTGAGGATCACAGTTCAAAGTCTACCTGAGTAGAAAAGTCTGTGAGACTCCTACCTCAGGTTAACTAGCAAAAAGCCAGAAATGGAACTCAAATGGTAGAAAAAGCTAAGGACAGTGCCCTTAGTTCAACCCCCAGTATGAGCACATACCAAAGAAAGAATCATTTTCTTCAAGTATAAAACTCTTTGACAGTGTTTTTTTTTTTTTTTTTTGTCCAGTCGTGAGGCCTGAACTCTGTGCCTGGGCACTGTCCCTCAGCTATTCAGCTCAAGGCTAGTGCTCTACCACTTGAGCTACAGCACCACTTCCGGCTTTTTTCTTTTTGCTTATTTGGTGCTGAGGAATCGAACCCAGGGCCTCATGCATGCAAGGCAAGCACTCTACCACTGAGCCACCTTCCCAGCCCTTGACAATGTTTTTGAAATTAGTAGAAAATAAGGTGACAAATAATTATACTTTTATATTTTTGATTTTTCAACTTTTGGTTGTAATATATCCAAACATACAAAAACCTTACAAAATGAATACCCATATACTTGCCAATGATAGTCAACTTCTAATTGTAACTCTTTCATGCCTGGTTTTAGAATCTGGATTGGAGTTGGTTAAGAGAATGACTTGATATTTATTCGCTGTCCTCAAACCTATGGAAGTTGTTGCTCCACATGTTGGAAATTTGCTTTTCTACCATGAAACTATTCTTCACACACCAGTCAATGGAAGAAAGGCTGTGAGCAAAAACTACACATGATTTTACAGCACAATATTTTGATTTTGAAAATCTTAACCTCTAAACAGATAGGATGTTAAGAAAAGTCAATGGAGTTAAGTATTCGTTTTAATGCTAAGATACTTAGGAGCATCATCATGACCTGTTTTTCTTCAAACTTCATAAAATACATAACTGACAGAAAAATGCCTTCTGAAGTTTTCACTTTTAAGCAATATGGCTATAGTATTGTATACAAAGACAAAAACCTCACTGATGTACATTTTAAGTACCTGTGTTTCTGCGGAAGAGATTGCTCACAAGTAAAATTGTATTTCTTAAAGAATAAACCCTACCTCCTTGTGGTACATTCAACAAGTGCTCTTCCTGGCATCACAAGGAGTTGGCTTAATTCTATTTTCAATTTTACTGCACATTTGACTGTATAATAAATCATGTTGTGTGCTATGTGTATATGTATTTAAGATGTACATTTAATAATATCAAAGAGACGATGCTTGTTAATTTATAATGTATTTGAAAGGTAATGTGTGTTTTTTTTTCATTTGTAATAATGGGTCTGTTTAATCTTTTGTGTCTTGTCATACAAGTTTGTAAAGGTCTTCATTCCCTTATCTGTAATTGTAATTTCAAAATCCAAGAAGTTCTGGACACAAGGTTATAAGCTGAATGTCAGAATTCATTTGCTTCCAAATCAAATCTGAACTGATATTTACTGTACTTATCCCGTTTAGTGTGACTTCATTTGTTTTCTTGTAGAAATATTAACATGTGTGATTACTGAGCTGGAGGTGCTGCCACAAAATCTTTTGGAGGCTAATGTATTATGGTAATGCACTAAATTAATTACTTTTCTAAAATCTGAAAATTTTATAATTCTGAAACATCTGGCCCCAAGGGTTTCATATAAAGATTGTGGATCTCTATTTTCTCTTAACTAATTTAGAAGGGTTTGTTTTAAAAATGTGAAATGCTTTTATATTCTAGTTTTTTCACTTTATATATTAAATGATTTTTTTAATGACATTTTGAATTTCTACTCATTATAAAAGCCAGCTTGTAATGCAATTTAATATGGTTTGGAGAAATGTGAAGGGCTATGAAGTAGAATTGGAACACAGAGTAACATACCAGGCTCCTCTTGTATTTTCATTAATAGTTAAATAGGACTTATGGAAAAGTAAGTAGTGTGCAACTTCTTTACAATAATGTTTTCTTTTGAGATGTCCTTTCATCATTATCTATGTCTAAAAACCATAGGTTCAGGTCTTGCCCTATAAACTGATCAAAATAGCCCTACTATTCCAATTTTTGCTCCTGGGATCATCTCTCTTGCTTAATCATCAGGTGTCAGTGTTGCTCTAACAATGGTAAGCCCATTCTTCCTGGGCAGTCTCTTGCTTCCCTGGTTCTAAAAAGTTTTAATCACATTTATTGGGTAGTATTACTCAAAAGATATTAACATAAGCAGAACAATAAAAGTGCTTGGGGAGGGGGGGACAGGCTTGGGTGGACAGGCATGATAGTTTACACCTGTAGTCTCAGCACATGGCAGATGGGGGCAAAATGATCTGGAATTTGAGGCCAGCCTGGACTGCATAGCAAGTTCCAGTTTTAGCCTGAGCCACCTGACTTAAAGAAAACAAAAGATGCTTCCTGGGAATCTAAACATCGTAAAACATTCAAACACATTATTTTTTTTTAGCCATCATGCATTTTCTAAGTAATAAAATAATTGGTGATAGATTTGCTATATATGAGGTTCATGTTGGTAGAGGTGATGTCAGAGCAGCCTGACGCCATAACTTGGACAAGTGAGTACTTGCTGTGTGCCAGAATGCTGGTTCAAAAAGGCTCTATGAAGAGTATCCTGAGAATGGCATCAGCATGGAGTCAGGGAAGGGGTGTAAGGAAGGTAGAAGGTACACTACACACTGACTGATGCTCCTAGGAGAGGTGTGGTAGGCTAGAACCAAATTTAGAAAGTATAGAATGCAGTTTTTTTTGTTCCAGTTCTGGTGCTTGAACTCGGCCTGGGCACTGCCCCTGAACTTCTGCTCAAAGCTAGTACTCTACCATTTTAAGCCACAGCTTCATTTCCAGCTTTTTTTTTTTTTTTTTGGTACTTAACTGGAGATAAAAGTCTCATGGACTTTCCTGCCCCAGCTGACTTTGAATCATGAGCCTCAAACCTCAGCCTCTTGAGTAGCTAAAATTTGGCATGAGCCAGGATGCTTGGCTTTGGAATGCCTTTTTCTGCCAATCATGGATCCAGATGTCTAGAAGACAAAATTTTTTTTTCTGTTCTTTTAAAATTATGTACTATGTATATACATTGCCGATAACAAAAAGAGAAAAGGAAAGGATAGCAATTGAAGTAAGAGGGATACATATAAGGGAAATGAAGACAACTGAGTAAATTTGGCAGAAATGGTGTAAGCTTCAAAAAATATTAGTAATGAGGTTGCAAATGGACACGGTTGACTAAGATTGGAAGATTCTCTGATCTCTTGAGCAGGAAAATAATAGAAAAGTAGTGCTTTAGGACCAGTGAGTCTGCAACTGGCAAAAAGTAGGGTCAGACCAGAGGCTGGGAAGCCAAGTGATTAGGAAATTGCAGGCTCAAGATTACCTTGGTAACAGCAGTGGCAATGAGAAGAGATAAGTATGGTCACTTCAGGTCTTCATTAAAAGTGTTCCAGACCAATCTAGACACTCACCTGTATCATTCATTTGTTTTTAATTACCTAGAAGTGGGACCTGTCTGCTCCAGATAAATGACACTGTAAAGTTTAGCTATTTAAACTCAGAAAAAGCAACCAGGCGCCAGTGGCTCACATCTGTGATCCTAGCTCCTCGAGAGGCTGAGATCTGAGGATCACTGTTCGAAGCCAGCTTGGGCAGAAATAAACTTCAAGAAAAAGCCAGAAGTAGCACTGTGTCTCAAATGGTGTAGTGCTAGCCGTGAGCAAAAGCAGCTCAAGTACAGCACCCCAGCCCTGAGTTCAAGCCTTCAGACTTGCAAAAAGAAACCCAAAAACCAACTCCCAAAAACACTCAGCCATGTTAGTGGATACCTTTATCCCCTGTATTCAACAGGCTGAAGCAAGAGGATGGTTGGTGAGTTTGAGGCCAACTTAATCTAAGAGAAAAAAAGAAAAAAAGGTAAGAATGAAGTCATTTGCTCCAGTCTACATTTTCTGGATACATTCTCGTAGTTTCATCATAATATTGGTGAGTTTGGAGAATGAGTTGTATACTGTTATACTTCAACTCTGAAAAGTAATTACAGAACAAAAAAAGGGGGGCTACTCAAGTTTCTGGCAATTTCATTAAGTGTTCGAACAAAACACAAAATTTGAATGGTACAGTTAGATCGAATAGCTTTCTTTCATAACTTCCCAGCAACATTGCTTTTAACGAAGTCTGGCTGCTACCCAGGTGCAGGATCTGCCCCCCTAGTAAGGTTCCCCATAAACCCTGAAAGGCTGAAAGACAGGAGCAGGTTCTCTGTATGAGAAAGAACTGACCAGTCCTTTGTCTATGCAGCTCTTTATGTCCCTGTTTATTCCAGACTACTAATTTCTGGAGCAGCTCATCAACAACGCACAAAGAAATAAATAACCCTCGAAGATTTGCATGTCCCAGAGAATTGGGGAATTTTGTCCTGCCCGCTTCCCGTCTCGCAGGTCGCAGAGAAGTGGGGAGTGCGTCACCCTGCGTCCTCGCGCAGCCGCAGTGCCGACCGAGTGGGCGGGGCCGGCGGGTGGTGGCGGTTGGCGCGACTCGGGAAGCGGCTGCACGTGCGGGCGGGGGCGATGCGTCACTGACCGGTGAGGCGCGGCGGCGGGGTCGGCCCCATCCGGGAAGCCCGAGGCTGAACCTCTTCCCAGAACCCGATTCTGGGTCCCCTTCTCAGTGCCGCTCCGCCAGGGGAGGCACCGAGGAGGGGAAGAGTGGGTGTCACGACGCTCGCCACGCCGGGGCGGGCCGCCTGGGTGAGGGGCTCGGCGAGGGGCGTCCGGCCCCGCGCAGCGGGAAGATGAGGGGCGAGGGGCCCGGGAGCCCCCCGGCGCGGCGGGGCGCCGGAGGCAGCGGGTGCTGCCGGCGGGGGCGGGCCCGTCCCTGTCCGGACTGAGAGTCTTCTCCGCCCTCACCCAGGAGGAACGAGGATGAACATGACTCAAGCCCGAGTTCTGGTGGCTGCCGTGGTGGGGCTGGTGGTTGTCCTCCTCTATGCTTCCATCCACAAGATCGAGGAAGGACACCTGGCCGTGTACTACAGGTGAGCCCCCCGTGCGCAGCCTCACCCCGCGCCGGTCCCCGTGGGGTCGGGAAAGTTCTTCCCGTGCAGCGGCCGCGGAGTCCCGTCTAGATGTGGGGCGCTCGTTAGAGACGGAAGCAGTCACTGTGGGGGCTGAAGGGGTCGCTGAGCCTCTCACCACAGATGCTCTTTAGGAAATTTGGTCATTTCTATGCGTTTTCCTCAGAGGGTTGGTTTTTTTGTGGTTGTCGTTATTGTTTGCATTAAAGGAACTCTCCCAGTATCTGCTTATGTTTTACAAAGGCTTGATGACCATGACAGTTGTTGCATCCTTAGCCCTCAAGGGATGGGACAAAAGCACAACATTGCTGGGAGGACCGTTCCGCGCCCTCTGCACTGACTCCTTTTAAGTGGAGGCGAGGGAGAGTGGGGTTATGTGTCTAGTTGGGTTGGCTTAGCTTTCCTTCAGCATAAGTTTCATTTGATATACATGGGTAAGAAAAGCCGATTTGTGGAGAAATTGGGAAAGTAGTTTTTTCAAAAAGAGCTTCAGCTTTTTGATGTTCATCACTCCCTGCATTAGTATTTGTATTTTGAATCTATCCTGAATCCGGGAGGAAAATAAAACAACAATTTTTGTGGTTAGTCTGTTAAAACAGATAGAGTTATACCATATAAAATAACATCTTAGTCCAGATTTCCACCCAGTTCCTCATTGTTTTTCTGACAGTAAAACCAAGGGAAGAATATTTGAAGATAAGACTCCAAACACAGTCCATCTTTTCTTAATTATGATTACCTGTCCAAACCTATTTGTATTTTCAGGACAGAAAATATTATATCTCTAAATTTGATGAACAAATACCTCTATACTCTGAGTCTTCTTTCTCTTCATCTTTCCATGCTATTTTCTTGTTTTTTCCTAGTATTTTAATTGCTTTGTGGCTAGATTAAAAAAATCATTAGTCTCAGAAACTTTTTCCCTAGCTTAAAAGGTTGTATCTTTTTTCAACCTGATAACTAAAGGTATTATGTTCTGAATTGCCTTTTGATGTGTACAATAAAGTATCTCATCTGAGAACCATTAGGGAAAAAAATTTAACAAATATTTCTCAGAAGGTTAAAGACCAAAGAGTCCTTTGAGCCTCAGAGCAATTCTCGAGACTCAGGTATAGTTCATGGAGCTTATGAAACAAGGTGTAACAACAGCAGTCCAATTTGATGTTTTCACTTTTTTAGTTGTGATAGGTATTTTAATCAACAGTTGTTCTTCATGAGTATCTGAGTGAGGATTTAATAGCTTAGTAGCATAAGTAAAAGTAAATGTTTATTAAAGCATTTTAGATTTGGAAAGACCTCTCTTTATAATTTTGTCAAATTGAAACATCTTTTTACAGGGGAGGAGCTTTACTAACTAGCCCCAGTGGACCAGGCTATCATATCATGTTGCCTTTCATTACTACGTTCAGATCTGTGCAGGTGAGTGATACTTAGGGATTCCAGATAGACAGGTATGACAGGAGCTACCACACTTAGGGGTGGAGATGAATGTCCTTATTGTTTAAGCAGTTGTTGGTATTTTCTTAAATTCAGGGGTTTAAAATTAGAATAGAATTGTTGCACAAGTTAACAATTTTGAACCATCTTGCTTCGTGAAGTCAATTAAAAGTAGACAGCTTGGGAAAACTGACTTTTACCCTCTGTATAATAATATCAGCAGTTTTTCTGTTGCTGCTGTCAAAATAAAATCAAGAATTAGGAACGCAACTAAAAATACAAACCAGTGATTACTTAGTTTAGAACCATGTTTGGTTTCCATAGAGGCAGGCTCCTCCTGGACTACTGTTAACACTGAGGATCTGGATTTTTATACACAGCTTTCAAACTTACATATTTTTGCCTTCCCATTTAGCACAATTTTATGTAGAACCTTAGTAAATGTACTATTTTGACAGCATTCCAGAATATTTGAAATAATTGTCTGGTTATTGAAAAGAATGCCTTAGCCATGGGTAATACTTGATAAATACCTTTTGACATAAGATGATAAAACAGGATTAGGCTGTGGATACTTTTGCAAACTCAGTGTGATCCTAAATTTTTGTATTCAGAAGTTTAACTGTCTGCAGATAATTTTTCAGGAATTAAGAAAACTCAATGCTGGGGAGCTGGGAAGGTGGCTCAGTGGTAGAGCACTTGCCTTGCATGCATGAGGCCCTGGGTTCGATTCCCCAGCACCACATAAGCAAGAAGAAAAAAAGCCGGAAGTGGCGCTGTGGCTCAAGTGGTAGAGCACTAGCCTTGAGCTGAAGAGCTGAGGGACAGCGCCCAGGCCCAGAGTTCAGGCCCCACAACCAGACCCCCCCCTCCCCCCCAAAAAAAGAAAAAAAAACTCAAAGCTGGGCGTCAGTGGCTCACGCCTGTAATCCTAGCTACTTAGGAGGCTGAGATCTGAGGATCATGGTTCAAATCCATGAGACTCTTATCTCCAATAAACCACTTAGAAAACCAGAGGTGGAGCTGTGGCTCAAAGGGTAGAGTGCTTGCCAAAAAGAAAACAAAAAAAAAAACAACAAAAACTTAGAGTTACTCAATTTTGTAATTTTAATTTTAAATCTTGGCTTCCTACTAAATGGATGCTTAATTGTAAATAGATACCTCACCTAGATTTCCTTCCAGTTCTCTTTGAAATGGCTTAGGAAAAGCATTGTATCTTATTGAAGTGAAACTTATTACTAGTCAGGCTGTAGTCATGCTGCCATACTGTTTTCCTATGTTAATTTTATTCATTCTTGCTTTGGTTAATGCTGTCACCTCTTTTTTTTTTTTCTCCTCATACTGGGGCTTGAACTTAGTTTATGTGGTACTGAGGAATTAAACCCAGGGTTTCATGCATGCACTAAACCACATTACCAGCCCTGCTGTCAAATCTTCCCTTATCATCTCTCCTTTGTATTCCTTTTCTGCTGTGTAATTCTTGCCAACCTTTTGTAAGCTTGACCCAGATTCCTTCTCTGATCGATAGCTCTTAAAGTCTGTATTATAAATTTTGATCCTTGATCTTATTTCTTTTAATATTGTTGTCTAGTATTGTAAGTTGTTTTGTGTGTTCTTTCCAGAAAAATCTCTGTAAGCTTCTTCAGGGCAGAAGTTATTCACATTTATATTTCTGATCTCTATTTATACTAGAAGTTGTTAAATTAACCTGATTTCTCAGGAAACAATGTAGTATGGGAATTTGGAGAGTTGCTCTGCCACAAATTGGATGTAAATCTTTAATATTACTTAATTGTTGTAGACTTTAGTTAACCATCTGCAAAAGAAGTTTTAATTACATGGCTTCACCAACAGCTTAAACAGTCACTAGTAGAAGTAGAAATGGTGATATCAGACCTTTAGAGATGCAGGGCTTTTTTAGATTTTTGTTTAAAGCCAGAAACATAATGCTTAATTTCTCTGGCATTAGCCAGCAGTGTCCTGAAGCTTATCCTGGCTTATTTTTGAGCTAAGGTACTACTAATTTTTGCTCCAGGTATCCTCAAATTGTGATTCTCTTGTCTGCTTTTTAGTAGCTGACATTACAGGTATGTAGCACCACACCTGGTTGTGTTTCTTCCTCCTTTAAGGAAGTTTTTTAAGTTACACTGTTGCAGAGAGAGAGAGAGAGAGAGAGAGAAAGGGGTAGATGAATGAAGAAGAGAGAAGAGGGAAAGAATGCAGTCAAGAATTCATTGTGAGCTGGGTGCCAGTGGCTCACACCTGTAATCATAGCTACTAAGGAGGCTGAGATCTGAGGATTGCAGTTCAAAGCCAGCATAGGCAGGGAAGTCTGTGAGACTCTTATCTCCAGCTAACCACCAGAAAAAAAAAAGTGGTTCTGTGGCTCAAGTGGTAGAATACTCGCCTTGAGCTGAAGAACAGCACCCAGGCCCAGAGTTCAAGCCCCACAACTGACCAAAAAAAAAAGAATTCGTTGCGTAAAGTATAAAATTAAAAGTAAGAGAAGAATTGGAATCGGGAGGAATAGGTGAGATGTTGAAAGGGGTGACATTGATCAAGATACATTGTATTTTTAAGAAAGGATATATTCATAAGCTGTTTTGTTAATGGTAACTCCTTTGTACAACTACTTATTAAAAATATATCAAACCACTGCTAAATATCCCCATGCTGCTGATCACATGTATGGTGTATAGTGTACACCGTTATATGTTATAGACTGTAATAGACAATTTGCCCCAGGAAAGTTAGAATGAACTTGTGACTTTATATGAGCATCATTATTCCACAATACTGTGAAATTTGGGAAATTATGTAATCACTTAACTACAATTTAAAAAAAAAAAAAAAAAGAACCTCAGGGAAGGTAGGGAGGGAAGGGATGGTAGGGGGAAAACAATGGAGGAGCTAACAATGCTCAATAGGAAGTATACTCATTACCTTGCTCATGTAACTGTAACCCTCTGTATAGTATCTTTACAATACAAATTTAAAATATATATATATATTGCAAAAATAACATTAAACATAGCTTAGTTATATACATAACAAATATATTGTGATTTTTTTTTGGGGGGGGGGGGGGAGGTCCGGTCGTGGGGCCTGAACTCTGGGCCTGGGTGCTGTCCCTGAGCTCTTCAGCTCAAGGCTAGCGCTTTACCACTTGAGCCACAGCGCCACTTTCCGGCTTTTTTCTTTTTGCTTATGTGGTGCTGAGGAATCAAACCCAGGGCCTCAGGCATGTAAGGCAAGCACTCTACCACTGAGCTACCTTCCCAGCCCTGTATTGTGATTTATATAGTAACAAGTGAAAGGATTTTTTTTTTATACATTAATATACTGTGTATCTTACAAAACAAAACAAAAGAGCCAGGAGCCAGTGGCTCATGCCTGTAATCCTAGCTGCTCAAGAGGCTGAGATCTGAGGATCATGGTTCAAAGCCAGCCCAAGCAGGAAAGTCCATGAGACTCTTATCTCCAATAAACCACCAGAAAACTGGAAATGGCACTGTTGCTCCAGTGGTAGAAATAGCTTTGAGCTGAAGAGCTGAGGAACAGTGCCCAGGCCCAGAGTTCAAGCCCCACCACTGACCAAAAATCAGCCAGATGCTAGGAGGTCACTCCTGAAATTTTAGCTACTCTGGAAGCTGAAATCTGAGGATTATGGCTTGAAAATAACCTAAGGAAAGAAAGACTCTTATCTCCTATTAACAGGGAAAAACCAGATGTAGAACTGCAGCTCATGGGGTAGAGTACCAGCTCTGAGCAAAAAAGCTAAAGAACAGTACCCCTGAACTCAAGCCCCAGTACCAGTACACACACAGAGATATATATATATAGATATAGATAGATAGATATTGCAGCCAATGTGACCAAATTGTTATATGTGTGAAACAGTATTCTAGGAAAGAAATACATTAGTAAAATCCTTTTTGTAAGATACAAATTCTTATTTTGGGGATGTTTGGGACATAGAAACTAGCTCTATTTAAATGAATAGTTTTAACAAACTTGATAATTGAAAAGTATATTTAAATATGAAATCCTGTATATGATGTACAAAGAAAAAGCAACAGTTAGAGAAATAATATAAAAATCCTCAAACTTCAGTGTATACATAAAGTAAACATACTCATTTTTCAGAATAAATACCCTGTTATTCTTGGGAAATACCTTTTCTTTTTCTTTTTTTGGTGCCAGTCCTGGGGGAACTCAGACCTAGGTGCTGTCTCTGAGCTTTTTTGCTCTTTTCTTCACCTCCTACTTCCTTTACCTAGAACTGATGTTTACCATCACCCCCATGTCTGAACCCAAAGAGTTCTGTTCTAGAATTTTATATTTAATCAAATACAGTGTCTTTCCATTCTTTTTTTCTTTCTTTTTTGGTCAGTTATGGGGCTTGAACTCAAGGCCTAGGTGTTGACCCCCAGCTTTTCTGCTCAAGGCTAGTGCTCTACCACTTTGAGCCACAGGGCTAGTTCTTTTTTTCTGGTGGTTAATTGGAGATAAGAGTCTCATGGACTTTCCTGTCCAGGCTAGCTTCAAACTGCAGTCCTTAGGTCTCAGCCTGCTGAGTAACTAGAATTATAGGCATGAGCAATCAGCACATGGTTATATCCTTCCATTATTATGTCTGCAGGATTTACAGCTTTGCATGTTCGTGGCCTTTACAAAAGAGAAGTGAGTCATACGGGCAAAGGAATTAGGACCTCTTTTGTTGGTAGTGCTAGGAATTGAGTCCAGAGCCTTGGACCTGCTAGGCAGGCACTCTACCTCTGAGCCAGATCTCCAGCCACACATTCCATTTGTATTTTTTGAGATGGGAATCTCATATTTCCTATGCTAGCCTAGAATTCATATTCTCTTGTGTCATTCTCCCAGGTAGCTGAGATTACATGTGTGCACCACTATGCTTGGCTTTCAACATCCCCCCCCCCCACCCTTGGGAAGGCTAATTTTGTAACTATATGTAATTAGGGAGAGCCTAGATTCCCAACCCAACATTCAAGGCCCTATACATAATTACCCCCCATGTTCTCTTAGAATTCACCATCACTTGAATTGTGCCTTCTGCTTCAGGCAACCTAATCTGCTTCATCAATTGTACACCCATTGTCTTCAACTTGAACTATAAGCTGTTTTTCTGCCTAATCTGTTCTTCTTCCCTGTTTTCTTAGGAATATTTTACCTTACCGTGTGTGTGGCTGTGCATATGTACATACTAGTAGTACTAGAGCTATTAAAGGCTGATGCTCTACTACTTGAACCACACCTCTATTGAGAGCTTTAAAATTATTTCCATATGACTTAATACATAACAGCTAATTTATACTTTTACTTTTTACCTGCTTATGGATTGTAAGGGTTTTATTGGTCATGTTACATTGTGACTTCTTTGGAAACCATATATATAGTCCATAAAACAATATGTTGCTGCCAGGCGCCAATGGTTCATACCTAGCTGCTCAGGAGGCCGAAATCTGAAAATCACTATTTGAAGCCAGCTTGGGCAGAAAAGTCCTTATCTTCAATTAACCATAAAGCTGAAAGTGGAGCAGTGGTTCAAATGATAGAGTACTAGCTGTGAGCACAAAAAGCCCAGGGACATCACCCAGGCTCTCAGTTCAAGCCCTAGTTCCAGCACAAAATAAATACAAATACAATACAAATATAAAGTAAATAAAATATATAGAATGTTGCTGTGTACTTGACCAGGTGCAGTGTGTCCAGAACATATTTCTTAGCTACTCACCTATTCTAGGCCTTAGAATGCAATATGAAGTCATTCTGGATCTGAACAAAGGTAAGCCATGGCAAAGCAGTCAAGAAACGTATTGTTAGTTCACTAAAAGGAACTGATACTGGTGTTGGTACTTACATTCAAAAGGAAACTGAACAAAACATGTAAGAGATCACCGGGTTCTAAATTTAAAATATTGACTGTGGCTTTAGAGATGAAAGTTTACTGTTGAGTTCAAGGGCAGCTTTGAGTCAGAGGGTACTTGTATGCATAAAGGAGTTATCTTTTATCTTCAGTGTAAACAGTAATGTTACAATGAAATCAAAGTTCAGAACATAAATGCTAGAGTATCCTTATGGGTGAATGTGTGGTTCATGTCGTTTATAGTCTCAGGCCAGCTCTAGGCAATGGAGAGTCTCTACAGTTTTCTGCTTACTAGGAGATTGAACATGGAATGTTTCCTAATGCATTTTGATCCAAATCTTAGCTATAAAGTATGGTTTAGCTTGGTGCTGGTGGCTCATGCCAGTAAACCTAGCTACTCAGGAGGCTGAGATTTGAGGATCACAGTTCAAAGTCAGCCTGGGCAGGAAAGTCTGTGAGATCTTTATTTCTAATTAACCACCAGAAAACCAGAAGTGGCCCTGTAGCTCAAAGTGGTAGAGAACTAGCCTTGAGCAAGAGAGCTCAGAAACAATGCCCAGACCCCAAGTTCATGCCCATGACCAACCAGGAAAAGAAAACAAAACGTGTGTGTGTGTGTGTGTGTGTGTGTGTGTGTGTGTGTGTGTGTGTGTGTGTGTGTGTGTGTGTGTGTGTGTGTGTGTGTGTGTGTGTGTGTGTGTGTGTGTGTGTGTGTGTGTGTGTGTGTGTGTGTGTGTATTAATCTTAAGTCTTATTTCTACCAGTATAATCTTAAGTCTTATTTCTACCAGTATATAAAAAGGAATGACTGTTCTGATAGCAAATCTCTGGAGACTGAAATTATGATAGAGCCTACCTGTACTTACTCTCAGCAGCTCTTTAGAGATTTGCTTCTGGGACTAGCTGTTCTTTGACAAGAGTTTTGATGAGCTATTTTTTCCTCCCTAGACTACCCTACAAACTGATGAAGTTAAAAATGTGCCTTGTGGAACAAGGTAAGCTTTCTGCTTGGTGACCACCTTTCCTTTTAATTCAGATGGATTTTTGTTCCTAAAATTGTAGCCACTTAAAATACTTGGATATAGACATGACAACAATCCATAGAGATTGTCGATATCAAAATTATTTAAACAAAATCCTATCTATATAAAAACTTTCTATCTTAGGAATCAGTTATTGAAAAAAGTAGATTTTTAGAACCAGCACACCAAACTTTGTATGTCAGCATTACCTAATACATCTGCTTTAATGATTGCTTTTTAAAATAGACTTTATTTTTGTTTTAGAGCAGTTGAAGGTTCATAACAAAATTATTCAGAATGAAAGTAGCACATTACCATATATGTTCATTACTCCTCTCCAATGCCTTTATGACTTTCCTTAGCTTAGTTCCCTAAAGTCAGGTCAAAAAAACAAAAACTTACACTACATAGTTATTGTAAAGGTTAGAATTAGTGTATATGAAGTATATAACCCAGCACTTGGCTCAATAAAAGATAGTTTAAAATTAACTCATCCCATTTTCTTCTCACTTGTAATATGTGCCATCTAATTTAGAGTTTCTGATTCAGTAGGTCGGAGTGAGGCCTGAGAATTTGCATTTCTAACAAAGTTCCTGGGTGATGCTGATGCTGCTGGTCTGAAGACCTCACTTTAAGAATTGCTGCCCTAAAGAGGTTTAGGGAGTAAAAGGCAAGCAAGGCCCAAGTTATTTCTAGAGTATACTTACTACATTGAATTATATCAGAAGAGGAATATGAAGTCCAAGGTATTTTTTAAATTACCTATTTTAAATGACCTAAATATTACTATTACAATCTTACAGAGGGCACCTTTGACATCTGTAGAGTATAGAAACACTTTTAAGAGACTAAACTCTATTTTAAGTTTATGTCTTTGATTTCAAGGTCTCTCTAGGTCTATCTGTAGCATTCTTCTATAGATTTAGTGACTCACCTTTTTTCTATTAATTTGTTTTTAGTGGTGGGGTCATGATCTATATTGACCGGATAGAAGTGGTGAATATGTTGGCTCCTTATGCAGGTATGTTATCCATCTATTCTGTCGTTTTATAGTTACAACTATAAAATTTATGGTAAATACTTTACAAGTAAAGGAGGAATAAAAAGATAACAAGTTTTTACAGACTCATAAATTATAAAGGAATAATCTAGAATATTTTTCATTTTTAGAGTATAGAGTTAGAAATAGGTCACAAATTATGGACAGAGTTGACTTTCAGCAACTTTATGAGTTATTCTTACATTAGTATATCTAAAAACAAGGTAAACACTGATTTATTTCTAAAATGTAAAAATCTGTAACTGATCAATTTCTTGGGGGAGGGGGTCATACTGATTTGTCACTATGGAGAAATAGTTTCAGTTGAGATTTGCTGTAACTTGCTAAGCATCAGACTCCTTAGAGAAAACATTTTAGTAAAGACGAAACTTCACAAAACAGAGTGGATAATATTCAATTTTAAAAATTGCAACTTCTGAGGAAAGATTTCACTGTTTGATCTTTATCTTTGTTAATCAAATTCCCATGTGTACTATGTTTTTTGTTTTTGTTTTTTTTTGTGTTCCTGGGTTTTGTCCCTCAGCTTTTTTTGCTCAAAGCTAGTGCTCTACTACTTGACCCACAGCCCCACTTCCACCTTTTTGGTGGATAATTGGAGATAAAGAGTCTCACAGATTTTCCTGCCTGGGCTAGCTTTGAACTGTGATCCTCAGATCTCAGCTTCCTGAATAGCTAAGATTACAGGCGTGCATCATTGGCACTCAGCTAAGTCATGTTAAATTTTACATAAGTGGAACAGACACAAATTGTGAAAATCAGAACAGAAGAGCCACAAGGGCATTTCTGTTAAGTGGATTTGAATAATACTTTTTAGAAATTTTTTTTTTAGGAATTATTTTGTCTTTTTTCATCTATAGTCAGCCAGTTGTTATCTATGGGCTGTACATCCACAGATTGAACCAACCTCAGATTGAAAATATTCAGAAAATAAAATCACACTTGTATTAAATATGCATAGACTTATTATTCCTTGAACAGAATTGTATAATAACTATAAGTATTTGAATTATATTAAGCATTACAAGCCATCTAGAGATGATGGAAATTATATAGAAGGATCTGTATAGTTTACATGCAAATATTACACCATTTTATTTAAGATACAGCATTTGTTGATTTTGGTGTGCTCAGGGATCCTCGAATGAATCTCCATTAGATATGAAGGGATGACTTTATAGTTTACTGGCCACAAGTCATTTGAATGGGTTATGATTAAAAATAGAAAGTGCAAGACAGGTGCCAGTGTAGCTGCTTTCTCTGACTTTTATTGTGTCTTGGTTTATGCAGTCCTTTACCCCTTATCTAAATATTTGCTTTACAATTATGCTTTATACTTTTTATGCCTCTAAACCCTGTGTCTCTTAATTTATCTTCATGCTGCTGCCAAAGCACAAATCTCTGTCATGCCTTATCTTTAACAGTTCTTTATTAACTCAAACCTAACATATATTTTCCATAATATATGGAATTTGAAGTTTGCTCATTTGTATTGTGAGTGCAAGAAAATATGGAGAATTGAGCCCACAGCATGTTTAAAGGTTTGTGAGTTATGTTTTCTGATGTCATTATTTTGTTGAAACTTTTCCTCAGGAATAATATATAACTCTTTTACCCTGGCTGAATTTGAAAATACCTGGGTTATTGTTGGATAAAACAAACATTGGTTATATCTCTCTTTCAGTATTTGATATCGTGAGAAACTATACTGCAGATTATGACAAGACCTTAATCTTCAATAAAATCCACCATGAGCTGAACCAGTTTTGTAGTGCCCACACACTTCAAGAAGTTTACATTGAATTGTTTGGTAAATGTCTTATATGTTTTAAATATATAAGTAACCAATTAGAAATGGTTTCAGTTTATTTATTGATGCTGTAACATTAATCAACCTTGCTCTATTTGAACATTTTTCCTAAACTTACGATAGAGAAATTATCTTTAAAATACAGATTTATCTTACAATTTTGTGTAGCTTGATAGAGATTAGAAAAACTTTATTCCTCACATACCATATTCTGTTCTTATTATGATAACTTAATGAAAATTAGTCTTATTGTAATAGATAATTTGAGGAAATTAAGAAGTCTGTGTTTGGGAGGATTTGCCAAGATCACTACTAATTAAAGATTTGGTGGAAGAATGACAAGATTTAGCCTGTACTTGTATTTACAGCTAATATGTATTATAGGCAAAAGATACCAAGCAAAACTAGCAAAAAGAAAAGTTACATGGAGGAAACCAGAGCCAGGAGCTAGTGGCTTATATCTTTAATCCTAGCTACTCAGGAGGCTGAGATCTGAGGATCAAGGTTCAGAGCCAGCCCAGGCAGGGAAGTCTTTGAAACCCTTATCTCCAGTTAACCACCAGAAAACTGGAAGTGAAGCTAAGGCTCAAAGTGATAGAACATTAGCCTTGGGGAAAAAAGCTCATGGACTGCACCCAGGCCCTGAGTTCAAGCCCTATGACTGACAAAAAGAGGAAACCAGAAGCTGGGCTTTCATGGCTCATGCCTATAATCCTGGCTACTCTGAAGGCTCAGGTCTGAAGTTTGTGGTTCGAAGCCAGGCCACACAGGAAGTCCGAGACTCTTTTATCTCCACTAAACTACCAAAAAAGCCAGAAGTAGAGCTGTGGCTCAAGCGGTAGAGCACTTGCCTTAGGCAAAAGGAAGGTCAGGAACAGAGCCCAGGCCCTGAGTTCAAGCCTCAGGACTGGCACCAAAAAAGAAGAAAAAACAGATAAAGACTCTTTTTAGAAAGGAGTTGGAAAGGATGTTTTTAATTTCCCTAGTAACAAATTGTGACAGTACATGTGAAATGTCTCAAGAAACTTCTGTAGTTACAGTTACTCAGTGCTTAGCATTTTGTACTGCAGCCTGGTAATGTAGGAACTGTATGACCACTATATACTAATCTTATAGACTACCAGAAGGAAAACACATGTTCAGCATAAACCATATTGTGTGTCTAAATAGTTTAGGCACAGTGAGCCACTTTTATCAGTTCTGGAGATGGTGGAAACCCTTCCCAAATCCCAAGTTTTCAGGTGCCCACTGGTCAACTTACACACTGGCTTTAAGGATCACAGTTTCAGGCCTGCTATATTTACTTTGTTCTGAACAAGTTTTTATTTGTAACAATGAAAGTTCTGACTTGAATATGTGCAGTTGTTATTTGGTTGCTTACTCGCACTCCTGGAATTTTTTTCTTGGATTCATTGGAATGAAGCTAGACTCTCCCAACTGATAGCTCTTTTATGATGAACAACTGTGATAGTGGCATATGAGGAAACAAATCAGTCATAATTTTTCACAGTTATTTTAATGGTGATAATAAGCTGGGCACCAGTAACTCATGCCTGTAACCTATCAGGAGGCTGATATCTGGAAGATCAGTTCAGAGTCAGCCAGGCAGAAAATCATAAAACTCCATCTCCAATTAGCCAGGTAGGAGGCATGGCTCAAATGGTAGGACACCAGCAGTGCGCAAGAAAACTGAATGGGAGTACTAGGCCCTAAGTTCAGACATCAGTAGGGGGGGTGGGACAGAGGTCAAAGTATTGAGGTCAATAAAAATCACGAGTTACTATGTAAGACCAAGTAAAGTGACACCATCTTCATTGTCCAGTAAATTTGTGCATCAGACTTCCTATGAGTGTTTTTGTTCTTTTAAATCAAAAATATAAGGAAAGTGCAAAGACAGACTAAAGGTAGGAATTAGCTTTTAAAAAAAAAAAAAAATGAGAGTAAAGCCAGGTGCCAGTGGCTCACAGCTATAATCCTGGCTACTCAGGAGGCTGAGAGCTGAGGGCCATGATTCAAAGCCAGCCTAGGCAGCAAAGTCCATGAGGCTCTCATCTCCAATTAACCACCAGAAAACCAAAAGTAGCACTGTAATAGAATGTAATAGAATGCTCACCTTGAGCTGAACAGCTGAGGGACAGTGCCTAGGCCCAGAGTTTAAGCCCCATGACTGACAAAAAGAGAGAGAGAGAGAAAATAGATATGTATAAGTCCTGAACTAAGACACTATGGATCAGATTGTTCATTTACTGAATAAATTCGTTTTACACAATAACTAAATTTAATAAGTCAACAAGTTACCCTATGAATACATTTATCCAAAGTTGTTAAATGAGCTTATTAGGTAACTTGAACTTTTTTTTAAGCAAACAAGACTACCTAATATTTTTCTTCTTTATTAACTAATGTCTCACTATTTTCCATACAAAAGGAAAATGCCTCCTATCCATTTCATTTATGCTTCATAAAGGAAGAGTAGGTGTATGTCTGCAGAAACTAGGTCTCATAGTGACTGATTTTGCTTTGATATTAATGCAGTGTTTTAAAAAAATATCAGCCAGGAACTGGTGACTCAAGCCTATAATCTGAGCTACTCAGGAGGCTGAGATCTAAGGATCATGGTTCAGAGTCAACTTGGAAAGGAAAGTCTGTGAGACTCTGATCTCCAGTTAACTACCAGAAAACCAGAAGTGGAGTTGTGGCTCTAAAGTTCTAGCCTTGAGTGAAAGAGCTCAGGAATAGCGCCCAGTCTCTGAGTTCAAGCCCCACAACTGACCAAAAAAAGTGAGTAACCTGAGATAAGTTGTCTTTAACTTTCAAAAACAGATCAAATAGATGAAAACTTGAAGCAAGCACTACAGAAAGATTTGAACATCATGGCCCCTGGTCTCACCATACAGGTAAGCCCTTTTCTAAGGAAGTTCTCTGGAAGGTTTTGGGAGGAATTTTTGGTTTGGTTTGGTTTATGTTTGTTGTTGCTGGGGTTTGAACTCAGAGCTTTGCACTTGTTAACTTGCTGGGCACAGGCTGTGCCATTTGAGCCAGACCCCCACCCATGTTGCTTTCATTTTTTTTCTGGATAGGGGTCTTCCATTTGTGCCTAGGCTGGCTTGAACTAAGATCCTTTTCTTTAAGATTTTCACATCCAAAATGACTAGACCTTGAGAATAGGTATTTATATGCAGTGTCAATGAAAAATGCAGGATTTGTTGTTGTTGTTTGGTTGTGGGAATTGAATTCAGAGTCTAGATACTGTCTCTGAACTGTTGTGCTCATGGATAGCACTCTACCATTTTGAGCCATAGTCCACTTTCAGTTTTCTGGTGGTTAATTGGAGATAAGAGTCTCATGGATGTTCCTGTCCAGGCTGGCTTCAAACTGTGATCCTCAGATCTCAGCTTCCTGAGTAGCTTGGATTATAGGCATGAGCCACCATCACCCAGAGAAAAATGTGTTTCTTACTAAGTGCCTGTAGTCAATAACATTTGAAAACCACTTCTAGATCCTGTAGTACGTTAGAACTGGTAACTTGGCTTTTGTAGCATTCCTTCTCAGAATTGTAGAACATGGGTTGATTATTGTGATTACCATTACTGCAAGTGAACATATGTTTTCTTAGTTGTTGTGTGTTTCAATTCTTTTTGCTCAGTGGCACAGAGAAGGTCCCTGATAAATATTTCTATTGCTAAATGAACACTCTGAAACAATGTTTTCTTAGGTGTCATGGCATCTCAATTCTTTTTGCTCAGTGGCACAGAGAAGGTCCTTGATAAATACTTCTGTTGATAAATGAGCAGTCTTATCTTTTTTTTTTTTGGTCCAAGACTTGAACTCGGTATCTGGCACTTTTGCTTACTTGCTGGCATTCTTACACATGGTCACACCTCCAACCCCACAGTTTGGTTATTTCTTCTTCTTTTTAAGTGAACGATCTCTGTAAACAGTAATATTTTTTTCTACTTTTCATACCCCATTTTTATCCTTGAAAAGCTGTTCTTACAGATTAGAATGGTGAAAATAATCATCCTTAATATGTTTGTACTGTTTTATTTAGTGGAATGACTATTATATGCTGACTTTGGGTTTTAAATACTTATATCCCAGAGGTCAGTTTCAAATATATTTATTTCATCAGCTTTTTGCTCTCCTTTATTCCCTCACAATTTGTGTGTGTCTGTGTGCATGCTTGCATATGTATATTAGTTATTAGTTTTGGATATGTTACATGTTTTTCTTAAATCTCTTGTGCAGTTTACTCATGAGTATCTGTTATAGCAAGAGTTTATCTTTTGACTTGCTTGAAAATGTATGATGTATTTCAAGATTGGCAAGAATATAGCCTATTCTGTCTCATACTAGACAAGAAGTCTTCAGAAGATAGTCCAGTCTGAAAATGTCATAATGAAACTCATTATTCTCTATGGTTAATGTTCATTTAAAACCATTTCATGCTCATTTTCATGAGGTTAAATCTCTAAATTAAATGCAGTGTGCCAATATCTTTTGAATTGTATTTATCCAATTAGGTATGTCTGGTAGTAACAGTGTGAAAATACTGTATAGAGGGGTTACAGTTACATGAGCAAGGTAATGAGTACATTTCTTATCAAGCATTGTTGCCTACTTCTTTGGTTTTCATCCCTTTCTTCCCACCTCCTCAACTCCACTACCCCTTCACTCCTCCCCCGCTACCTAAATTGTATAGGATCTTGTACATCTCATTGTTGAAGTGGGCCAACCTGTATCCCTATTTAAACAATTTGTTTTTTCCCTTCCCCTCCCCAAATTATACCAGCATCAAATACAGTGAGAACAGGGGTTATATCGTGGGGGAGGGACATACAAAGCAGCAAAAAAAAATCACGTGATATCTTATAAATACATTAGAAACAATAGCAAGAAAGAAAAAACCACTTGTGTCCCTATTTTGGCGTTCATTTTGCTTAACATCATCTTATCTGACCTTTTCTACTTGTCCCAGACATATACTAGTTATTGCAAATAAGGGAAACCATGGGACTTACGTTTCTTTGGGCCTGGCTTACTTCACTTAATATAATTTTATCCAAGTCTTTCCATTTCCTAACAAATGGGGGCGATGTCATTCTTTCTGATTGAGGCATAGATTGTGTGTGTGTGTGTGTGTGTGTGTGTGTGTGTGTGTGTGTGTATACACATATATATATACATATATACACACCCGTATGCATGTATATACATATGTATGTATATGTACATATGCATATATGTGTGTATATATATACACATATATACCACAAATAAATGGGCTAAAGACTTAAAGAGAAACTTCTCTGAGGAAGAAATAAGAATGGCCAATAGACACATGAAGAAATGCTCAACCTTTCTAGCAATAAAAGAAAGGCAAATCAAAACAACATTGAGATTCCACTTCACCCCAGTTAGAATGGCTATAATCAAGAACTCTAATAACAGCAGATGCTGGAGGGGCTGTGGCCAGAAGGGAAAACCTTACTGCATTGTTGGTGGAAGTGTAAACTTGTTCAACCACTTTGGAAAGTAGATGGAGGTTCCTCAAAAGACATAGAGCTCCCCTATAACCCAGCAATCCCACTTTTGGGCATTTACCCGAATGATCTGGTTCTGAATTTTTGTCTTCTGAATATCTCTTATGGATTGTCCTATGACATCACATACTTCACCTTAAATGTATGATGAGGTCTTCCACATAACCCCACTTTTTATTCCATTATACAGTAATCATTAGTTATGATAATCTTCAAAACTACCTACAGATTTGACTGTTCTCTTTCATGTAGGGAATGATGTGTTGCTTAAAAGTTCACCCATGTGGGCAAGCTACATCTTCAGCCCACTTAAAAGTTTTTAAAGTTTTAAAATCCTTGTGTATAAAGGCTTTGTTACTTAAACATTTAGCCAGTTTTCAGAAGCTAATTAAATCTTTCTTCAGACCAGTAAAGTGTTTTCTGTATGTATTTGCAGTGTAAATTGGGGAGTGCCGGATGTTTAAGTAGTGTAATCAAAAGGTTTTGAGATATCTAATCCTAGGTGTAGAAAAGTCAACCTTCAAACAAATCCAAGCAGGTAATCTCAATTATGTCCAACTATACTATCATTAGAGGAAAAAAGTATCTAGTAGAAAAGATTGTCCATATCCTGATGGACACAGTAGCTCCCACCTATAATCTTAGCTACTTAAGTGATAGGCCAGCCTAGGCAAAAAGTATAGGAGACACCCCTCCCCCACACACACACACGTTAACCAATAAAAGTTGGACATAGTGTCACATAACTGTCATTTATATGGGAAGCATACATAGGCGGATCACTGTCCAGGCAATTGTGGACATAAACTCAAGACTCTGTTCAAAGAACAAAACAGTGAAGCCCAAAGGGCCAGGTATGTGGCTTAAGTGGTAGAGTGCCTATTTAGCAAGCCAAGCCCTAAGTTCAAACTCAAGTACCACCAAAAGTAGATTTTAAAATAATGTCCATATTTACACATTGTGATACATCTGTGTGGGAGGTAGAAGTAGAAGGATCATGAGTCCAAGGCCAACCTGGGAAAAATTAATGATGATGAGGTATCATAAGGTATCAAAAAAGTTAAGGTTGTAGCTCAGTGGTAGAGCACTTGCCTAGATACTGTACTTGCCTAGCAAGCACCAGGTTCTTGGCTCAATCCCCAATGCTACTCCCCCACATTTTCTGCGTAAATCCCCTCCAATCCCCCATAAGGCAGGTAGACCTTTGTTGCTGTTACTGTTTTTCAATACTGGAGATTAAAACCTGAGCTTCACACTTGCTAGTTAATCACTCTATCAGTCTTTATGGTAGGTTTTTTGTTGTTGTTTTTTGTTTTTTGTGCTAGTACTGGGACTTGAAGTCATGGCCAGGGCACTTTCCCTTAGCTTTTTCATTGAAGGCTAGTGCTCTACCATTTGAGCCACACTTCCACTTCTAGCTATTTGCCGGTTATATGGAGATAAGAGGTTCTTAGATTTGTTTACCCATGCTGGCTCTGAACCATGATCCTCAGATTTCAGCCCCTCCCTCCCCCCCCCCCCCCCCAGTAGCTAGGATTACAAGCATAAGCCATTGGCACCAGATTTTGTTTTGTTTTTTTGAGACCGGGTCTTCCTATGTAGCCCAAATAAGCCTTGAACTCCTGCCTCTGCCTCTTAGGCATGCCTTATTACATCTAGCTAGACTTTAAGCAATATTCCAGCAAGAAAGAATGTAAGCTATTCATTGGTACCTACCATCCAGCCATTTGGCTATATATATATATATATATATATATATATATATATATAGTGCCAAATGATAACCAGTTTAGGAATTCATAAATTAATTTGCCCACTAGACACAGTATTCACTTGCATGTGTTAACCTGGGTTTTCATTTGCTTTTGCCTCTCTGAATTCACGATTGCAACTTTGTACCTTTGCCTGCCTCTGTTTCATTGGCTTTTAAGCTTGAGAAGGAAAGCAAAACTATACAACTACAGATTTTTGTATATATTTAAGAAGATCCTATTCTCTGAGAGAGTTTATTTCCTCCGTGGATACTTTTTCTCCTATAAACATTCTTCCTGTTGATGACATGAAAAGTAGATTCTCTAGAGAGATCTCTATCATATGTGTTGGTAGACAGCTGTATGGTAGTTGTTTTATTGGAATACTTTGGGGATCTCTGGATGATTTAGTTCAAAGATTTGCATTTTAAGTATACTTTTATATTTTTACTTTTATAGGCTGTGCGTGTCACAAAGCCCAAAATCCCAGAAGCCATAAGAAGAAATTTTGAGTTAATGTGAGTAATATGCACGGGATCCTAATATTTCTGTCTAGAGCTGTCTACGTAGTAATATACCACTGTACTGCAAACATATGAGATAGTATGCTCTGGGGTTGGGTAAATATCTATTTTCCAAATATTTATGTTAATAATACTACCAATTCTTACTTTGAGACTCTGTTTTCTGCTTTGTTCTTAATATCATCTTTATGTCCCCTTCCTTCTCTTCTCCTTTTTTTGGGGAGGAGGGGGCAGTATTAGGGTTGAACTCAAGGCCTTGTACTTGATAGGCAAGTGCTCCATTTTTCAGATATTGTCTCACATTTTTACCTGGGCTATCCTCAGACAGAAATCTTCTTAACCACCTTCTGCATAGCTAGGATGACAAGCCGTGGTTTGTTGACATCAGGTCTCATTAACTTTATTGCTTTTGCTAATCTCAAAAACTTTCATCTTCTGGTTCTTTACCTCATCCCAAGTGGTAGTACTTCAGAAGTTTGCCATCATACCTGACTCCAGCTTTTTTTGTTTTGTTTTGTTTTTTTGATCATGAGGCTTAAACTTGGGGCCTGGGAGCAGTACCTGAGCTTTTATGATCAAGGCTAGCACACTACCACAGCACCAATTTGAGCCACAGCACCAATTCCAGTTTTTTGGTTGTTAGTTGGAGTAAGGATCTCACAGAAGCTGGGCACTGGTGGCTCAAGCCTGTAATCCTAGCTACTCAGGAGGGAGGCTAAGATTTGATAGTAATGATTTTGAGCCAGCCCAGATCCATGGGACTCTTATCTCCAGATAACCAGCAAAAAATCAGTAGACATGTGGCTCATCAGCCATGAGGGAAAATGCTTAGCAAGAGCACAAGGGCCTAAATCTAAGGTACACTATCAGCAAAAATAAAAAATTAAAATATAGGACTGGAGGGTAGCGTAGTGGTAGGGCACTTATCTAGCATATATCCATGCATTACGCATTGGGTTTGATCTCCAACATTGCAAAAATAATTTCTAAGTTTTATGATGTTTTGCTTTACAGGGAAGCTGAGAAGACAAAACTTCTTATAGCTGCACAAAAACAAAAGGTTGTGGAGAAAGAAGCTGAGACAGAGAGGAAAAAGGCTGTTATAGGTACTTAGATTTATTTATGAATGTCTTTAAAGTATGTATGTATTAAGTTTGTCCTAAGATTGGTCAGTCTCATGTTAGATATTGACTAATACTCAATATAGATATGTAGTAGAGAGTTCTGGAAACTTCATTGTACATACAGCTATACTCAAGCCTGTAAAAGTAAGTGAGGTTAGTATTATTGAAGTGTCTTGGCTCTTTCAGCAAGTCATTAGCTATCACTATTGTCTCCTTCAAGAGTAGAGAGAATGGGTAGGGTTTATGAGCAGCTTTAGGTTCTGTGGAGTATATTTCCACTCATATGGAATAGAGAAATTTTTTGGCCAGAGCTCAAGATTACAGTACATGTCATTGGTGTTGACAAATGCCTTGTTATATCTAGTTAAGGTACTGCTATCTTCAAAAGTACTTCAGAATTGCCTGTAGATGTTATAACTGAATATTTCAGATATAAAGGAATGGACCAAGAAGAGTACAATGAAGTCTTAATATTTTGCCATATTTCTTTGAGATGTTTTCTTTAAAGAAAACAAAATCTGTTTGAAGCTTCCTCTTTACCTTGCTCCACTCTTACTTATTTTACCTGTTTGAACTTACAAAAGTGATATAAAATTACCTTGTATTGTACACTGGCCTTTTTTTTGATCTGACTGTTGAGTTTTATTCATATTGATACTGGTATATCTACTTTTTAAAAATGTTCTAGTCTTCAAACAGTTTTACAAGGAGATTGCAATTTAACATCCAGTGCATCAGAGTGCTCCTTCATGTAGTTCATTTTTAACTGCTGGCCTCAGTTTATTCTAGAGAATTACTTCTGAAGTTAAATTTTTGTTCATCTGTGTTACAAACACTACTGTGGTAATATGTTTTTTCATGTCTTCTTGTGCATTTCTATTATTGGAACATTATTTAGTGTGTGATGTGGCTTTGTACTCTTATACCAGCTTTTTCCAGAATCACAATAAGATGAGTACAGGTTATAAGGACTAAGTTAGAAAGCTTTTTTGTATGCCAATCCTGGGGCTTGAACTCAGGGCCTTGGGAGTGGTCCCTAAGCTTTTGTGTTCAAGGCTAGAGCTCTATCACTTGGGCCACAGCTCCATTTCCGGTTTGGTTTTGTTCTTTTTGTTTTGTTTTTGTTTTTTGTGGTTTTTTTGCTGGTTAACTAGAAGTAAATCTTGTCTACGTTCCTGATCAAATGGGTTTTGAACCTCTATCCTCAGATCTCAGCCTCCTAAGTAGCTAGGGTTACAGGTATGAGCCACTGGGAGGCAGGTGTGTGTGTGTGTGTATGTGTGTGTGTGTGTGAGAGAGAGAGTGAGAGAGTGTGTCAGCTATCCCTGAGCTTCTTTGGCTCAAGACTAGCACTTTACCACCTGAGCCACAGTGCCACTTCAGGCCTTTTCTGAGTAGTTATTTTGGAGATAAGAATCTCACAGACTTTCCTGCCAGGGCCACTTCAGGCCTTTTCTGAGTAGTTATTTTGGAGATAAGAATCTCACAGACTTTCCTGCCAGGGCTGGCTTCAAACTGCCATTCCCATATCTCACCCACCTGAGTAGCTACAATTACAGGCATTAGCCACCATAGCTAGTTGTTCCTCTTAACTGTTGACTGTTCCTTACTGTTCCTAAATTTGTCCTGGACTATTCTAGGCATTATTCCTCCTGCTAGAGTTCTATAAAACTCTGTGTTGGGATTTTTATTTGAAGAGAATTACCATACTTGTGCATTTGTTAGGGATTTATTCCTATATATTCTTTAAGGGTTTTGTTTATTTGCTTATTTGTTTTTCCCCAGTCATGGGGCTTGAACTCAGGGCCTAGGCCCTGTCTTTGAGCTCTTTTGCTCAAGGCTAGTGCTCTGCCACTTTAAGCCACAGCTCCATTTCCACTTTTCTGATGGTTAATTGGAGATAAGAGTCTCCTGGACTTGCCTAACTTTGAACCACAATCCTCAGATCTCAGCCTTTGAACCACAATCCTCAGATCTCAGCCTCCTGAGTAGCTAGGATTGTTGGCCTAAGCCACTAGCTCCCAGGTTTGATTTTTCTTTTTTAAACCTAACTGTTAATATGTTGCATTATATTAATAGATTTTCTGTTACTGGATATTCTTTTTATTCTTAGGTTAAACCTATGCGGTTAACAATATAAGAAGTTTATCGTAAGTCTCTCAGTTATGGTTTGCTGGTAATTTCTTTAGAATTTGTCCTTTTTGTAAATTACATTAACTTATTTTCTTACGTAAATAACAAAGTTTTGTGTCTTTGTTTTGGTATTTTTTATTTTGGTTTGTAGTTTTACATTTTTTTGGTGCTAGTCCTGGGGCTTGAACCTCAGGTCCTAGGGTGCTGTCCCTGGGCTTTTTTGCTCTACCACAGCTCCATGTTCAGCTTTTTTAGTGCTTAACTGGAAATGAGAGTCTCATGGATCTTCCTGCCCAGGCTGCCTTTGAAAGTGGATCCTCAGGTCTCAGCTTCCTGAGTAGCTAGGGTTACAGGTGTGAGCCACCAGCACCTGGCAATTTTTACTTTTTAATGGTTCTACTAGCCTCAGAATTACTTAAAGAACATTTCTTCCTTTTCTGGAGCATTTTGTATAAGGTATTTGTTCCCTCTTTTTTGTAGGTCTGGTGGCACTCACTTGTGAAAACCTTTTTATTCTAATTGTGTTTGTGCTTTTTATTTACTTGCATTTAATGGTGACATTTAACATGGTGATTTAATTTCTATATTGAATATATATCTGTTCAGGTATTTGGAAGGGTTTTGATTTGCTTGTTTGTTTTTTGGTGGTACTTGCTATGCAGGTGCTCTACTCTTTTTTTAATATGTATTTTTTATTGTAAAGATACTGTACAGAGGGGTTACGGTTAGATGGGTAGGGTAATGAGTACATTTCCTATGGAGCATTGTTACCCCCTCCTTTGTTTTTCCCTACCATCAGGTGCTCTACTCTTGAACCACACCTTCAGCTCTTTTATCTTTAGGTAGCTTTCATATAGGGTATTATGGTTTGGTTTGGTTTTGTTCTCAAGACTTGCTTAGAGCAATAATCCTTCTCCTTAACTCCTTAGCTGGGTGCACAGGGTCCTGCCTAGCTTTATTGTTGGGATGGAGGTTTTGATGCCTTTTTGCCTAGGCTGACCTAGAACAAGATAGGCTTTATTTTTATTCTTTTTTTCCCCAGAGAACTGGATTTTGTTTTTGTTGTTATTTCTTTTCAGTGTTATTTGTACTTATTTTTATTCTGTCTCCAAAGTTTTGAAATGTATTTTGCTTATTCATGTTCAGTTTTAATTCCTCAAAAGCATTCTCATTGTATTTTCATCTTTTGACTTATGAGTTATTTATATAATTTTATAATATAATTTTAAATTTCTGGTTCAATGGGTTTTGAAGGTTTCCCTTTTTTTTTTTTGATTTTTCAGCGTCAATTTTAGAAAACAAAATCTGATACATTAACTCTTTATTAAAATTTGTCTTGTAGCCTATCTGCCCATATCTCCTTTTGTAAATGTTCTTTATATGCTTGAAAAACATGAATATATATATATATATATTCATTTATTGAACACAGATTGCTGTAGGTTAGTTAAGTCAAGCTTATGGATTGTATTGATCACATCTGTATTCTATTTTTTTGTCTTCATGCGCTATCATTTACTAAGAAAGATGTGTTAAAACGTCCCCCATGATCATGTATTTGTTAACTTGTAATTTTTTTCTTTTTATGTTTTGGGTCTGTATCATTAAGAACATTACAGTTCAGGATTATTACACGTCCTTGAGAAATGGCTTCTGTTTTTGTTCATCTGTTTTGTTTTTTAACATTCTTTTGTGTGTGTGTGCCAGAACTGGGGCTTGAACTCAGAGCTTGGATGTTGTCCCTCAGCTTTTTGTGCTCAAATATAGTGCTCTACCACTTGAGCCACAGCTTTACTGCTAGCCTTTTGGTGATTAATTGGAAACAAGAATCTTATGGTCTTTCCTGAATATGCTGGCTTCAAACTGCAATCCTCAGATCTCAGCCTCCTAAGTAGCTAGGATTACAGGCATGAGCCACTAGTGTCTAGCCCAACATTCTTTTTCCTTAAACCTGCTTTGTGGCTTATGAAATATTTTGTGCAATGATAATATAGCTATGCCAGATTTCTTTTGGTTATTTTTTCTTGGTATATATCTTCCCATCCTTTTTTACTTTCAACTTTTCTATGTCATTGTTTTAGGTGTGTCTCTTATAAACAGCATATAGCTGGATTTTGTTATCTTATCCAAAATGTGAGAATCTGTCTTTTAACTGGTGAGTTTAGTCTTTTTATATTTATTGTGGTTACTGCTATATTTAGATTTTATTTGCATCATTCAGTTTTGTGCTGTTTATCATGCATTTTTCCCCCTCTACTTTCCCTTCCCCCTTCATTTCTGATAATCAGTTGATTGAGTTGTTTTTTATTCTTTTACTGGGCTGGAAATTTTACACTCTTGTTTCTGAAATATACACTAGTCATCACCTCTGAAATATTAACAAGTATACTTGACAACGGCTGAAGTTAGTATTCTCTTTATTCTCTTCTTGAACAATACTTTGGAATGTTTTAACTCCTGTTTCTATCCTCCGTCTCATGTGTTGTTTCCTTGTGTTTTTAGTTTCATGTTACTTTTATCTTCCCATTGATTATTCCATCATGATGATTATTGGTTCTCACAGTAAACATTTACTTTGATTTATAAATAGTCATTTTTTTCTTCTGCATTGCTCTGGCTTTTTTTTTTCTTACAGATTTTTTTCCCCTTTTTTTCAGTGAACACTAAGGAGTGGAGAACTTGTTCAGTCATCCTTGGTCTAAACATGCTTTTATTTTTTTTTTTTATTTCCCCCCCACCCCCTTTTATTTTATTTTTAAATGATAATTTAGCTTACAATTCCACACTAAACTAATTTTTTATCACTTTGCCAGTGTTATTACAATTTTATTTGTCCTCTTAAACCTATTACAAATATTCCATCATTGAGTAATTAGTCTCTGCTTGTTTTTTGAGAGTTCTTTCTGTATTTTAATGTCCTTCAGTTTCTCTGTTATGTAATGTTCCTAGGTAGAGGAAAGCTCTCACTGGGCTGGTAGAGTTCTTAGTCCCCATTTCACTAGAGTTGCAGCTTTAGAGGTCTCAAGTTTTAAATTACACTCTTGGTTCTCTCATTGCAAGGCATCATATTGCTCTACTTGAGCTGTTACTTAAGTCTTTGTCCCTGTGTTTACCACCCCCACAACTGCCACCATAATAGGCTCTTAGCTCTCACTTTGCTTTTGTCACCTGAATATCTCATTCTCATATGGGCTTGCCATGCATTTAAAAACAAACACATTGTATTTAATGTTGAATGTTAAAGGCATTAGCTGAAATGTTTTCTCACTAGCCTACTCAACTATGTTTCTAGAACTAGAAATAGCGTTATTGAAGAACTAGAACTCTCATTGGTTATTTCCACATGATGGAGAGAAGTATTGATGAAATTCCACAGTAGTTCTTCTATGTGGAGACATTCTCTAGATTCTAGCTGCAGGCTTCACTTTTTATTTGTATTTTACGTTAAGTTTCTGCTTACAGCTAAATGTCTAGCCCAGTAGTTAGTTTATTTATTTGTTTTTTTGTTTGTTTTGCCAGTCCTGGGGCTTGAATTCAGGGCCTGGGCACTGTCCCTGAGTGTCTGTTTGCTCAAGGCTAACACTGTACCACTTGAGACAGCACCACTACCAGCTTTTCTGTTTATGTGGTATTGATATGAATCAAACCCAAGGCTTCATGCATGCTAGGCAGCACTCTACCACATTCCCAGCTGTCAGTAGTTATTTTTATGATAGTATGCTAGGTTAATTTTACTCTGATACAGAATAATTATGGCCTACAGTAGTTGATTTTGTCTTCTGGAACAAAGAAACTACTTGAAAATTTTCTTAGGTATATTTGCCAAGGGCCTGGAATAAGATTTGTTAAAAATATGATCATCTCTTTATACCTGTGGGTACAAAACATGCCCACATACCATGCCCATACAAAAATCTGCAGATGCTTCTTCCCTTATGTTAAAATGACACTTTTTTCAAATAACTAAGCACATTCTCCCATATACTTTAAATCTGTAGATTATTTGTAACACCTGTTATAAATACATTAATCATTTCTAGTTAGGTCATTTAGAGAACAATAAGAAAAATGTCTGCACATGTTCAGTAAAATACAAGTTTTTCATTTTCAACCTTCATTTGGCTGAATCTGTAGGTGAGAAACCTGTGAATGCAGATGGCCAACTGTACTCAACTTTGGATGAAAAAGCAAACTCAAACTGGGTGGTGGTGGCTCATGCCTGTAATCCTAGGTACTTAGGAGACTGAGATCTGAGGATCACAGTTTGAAGCCAGCCCAGGCAGGAAAGCCATGAGACTATCTCCACTTAATCACCAAAGAAGCTAGAAATAGAGCTATGGCTCAAGTGGTGTAGTGCTAGTCTTGAGCAAATAAAGCTTAGGGATAGTGCCCAGACCCCCTCCAAACTGGTAAACCCACAACAAGAAAGAGAGGGAGGGAGAGAAGGGAAGTTTGGAAAGGGTAGAGGGAAGGGAAGGGCAAACTGAGAATGTTCTTTAAGAATTGCATTGATTGACTGTAAAGTGAAATCCTCAATCCTTTGGTTGTGGTTAAAGGTTTGCTCAGGGTGTTTAGTTTGTCCCAAGCATGCTTCCTGTGGCTGCTAACATGCTCATTCCTAACATTTATTTCATCTTCTAAGATGAATTAACTCTACTTTTTTTTGTCTTTTATGGGCATTCAGAGTATTCCTCCTCTGGTTTTCTTTTCCTCATGTCATTTACCTGATAGATCCTGAGTATTTTACAGTAAACTTAGTCTGTCACTCAAGACAGATCTTTTAGCCTTCTTTTTAGTCTTTTTTTCTGGTTGTCTTGTCAGAATTATCTTTCCATTGTGACTAGTTCATTCATGCCTTCTTGTTTTCCTTAAATTATACATCCTCACATTTTCTTCTGGATTCATGTCTATTGTTTTCTATAAAATTCCTTCCAGGACTTTCTTGGTTTAACTTACCACTCCTATTCTTTCTCATGCCACATTTTACAATTGTCCCATGTTACCATGCACTTATGTTGCTCTGGTTTTGTCTTGTAGTACTTTATTATTAAGTATCTTTTTTAACTTTTAGTTTGTGACTCATTGCTACAGTCTCATTCATAGAGTACTGGAGCCATTAACCTTTTAATACTCCTTACCATAAAACTTGGACTACCAACTAGAGCAGTAGTAAAGTAAGACATAAATTCTTTTATCTCTTTAAGTCATTTAAAGTTGGAATAAATAAAATTTACAGGAAACAAATAGCCAAAAGGTCCTATATAATTAATGTTAGACTGTTCTGCTGACTCTTAATTGCCTCAAGTATTTTTAATGTGTCCTCTTTTGTTGTATAATTATAGAAGCAGAGAAGATTGCACAAGTGGCAAAAATTCGCTTTCAGCAGAAGGTGATGGAGAAAGAAACTGAAAAGCGCATTTCAGAAATTGAAGGTACCTTGGAGTATGAGGCTCTACTGTCCAGATCTGCTATTTTACTTCAGGGATCAGCTCTGGCTTGTCTTGCGGGGAAGACCATAGAATATTTTGATCTGGGAGAAGTAGTTGGTCTAATATTCTAGATGAAATTTCTAAAATACTATTATATATGTAGTGCTTGCTTTGGTGTGTGACTCATATTATGGCTCAACTTTTTCCTTAAGTTTGAGCTTATTCACTTTTGTTCTAGTCTAAAAGTATTCAGCCAGGTACAAGTGGCTCACACCTGTAATTCTAGCTCATAAGGGGCTAAGATCTGAGGATCACTGTTCAAAGCCAGCCCAGGAAGGAAAGTCTGTGAGACTCTTTATCTCCAGATAATAACCAGAAAACTGGTAGTGGTGCTGTGGCTTAAAGTAGTAGAGTGCTAGCTAGCCATGGGCAAAAAATCTCAGGGACAGTGTCCAGGCCCTAAGTTCAAGCCTCATGACTGGCCAAAAAAAAAACTTATTCAAAATCAGTTGTATAAAGAATGTATAAAATAATAAAACACCACTAGTTTCTTTTTCATTTATCCAAAACAGCTATAGCAATAACAAAATTAGCTGGAAGAGAAAAAAAAGTTACAGGTCTGATTGTGGGTTTTGTTTTATTTCATTTCTATGGTGTTTGAACTCAAAGTCTTATACTTAATTCAGCTTGGCTGTGGTTTTAAACACTTGAGCCACACTTCCAGTCTGGCTTTTTGCTTGTTGTTCTGGAATATGGAGTCTTGTGGGGGTTTTTTTGCCTGAGCTGGCTTCAAACTGTGATCTTATAGATCACAGCCTCTTGGGTAGATAGGATCACAAGTGTGAGCCACCAGTAAGTACTCAGCCAAAGTTTTGATGAGGAATTTCAAACTCTTTGATATTATATAGTAACATGTTGATGTTCTCAGCTCACAATCTTGAGAATCCTTTTGCTATGTACAGCTGCTTCCTATCTTTCTATGTTAACTGATTCAGGATCAGATTTGGAAGGGTTAGTGACAATGTAATACATAGAACAAAAGCTTTCCTGCCTGAGTTTAGTTATTTTACTTGAGACCTGAATGGGGGGAGGAGGGAGTGTGAGCTTTGCATGATGTGAGGAAAAAGAAAGATAAAGAAAAAAATAACTAGCTGGGTGCTATGGCTTACACCTGTAATCCTAGCTACTCAGAAGGCTGAGATCTGAGGATCATGGTTCAAAGCCAGCCTGGGCAGGAAAGTCCATGAAATTCTTGTCTTCAATAAACCACTAGAAAACAGGAAGTGGCATTGTGGCTCAAGTGGTAGAGTGCTAGCTTTGAGCTGAAGAGTTCAGGGACAACAAAGAAAAAAAACCTACTTTGGAGAGATAGGGTTTTTTTTTCTGTTTGCTTTCAGTGGGTCCTAGGGATGGGGGGGAGGGGAGGAGGATGGGGGGGCAAGCGCCTGGACACTGTTCCTGAGCTGCTTTTGCTCAAGGCTAGTGCTCTACCATTTTGAGCTACAGCTCCATTTCCAGTTTTCTGGCGATTAATTAGGAATAAGAGTGTCACAGACTTTTCTGCCTAGGCTGGCTTTGAACTGTGGTCCTCAGATCTCAGACTCCTAAGTAGCGAGGATTGGAGGCGTGAGCCACTAGTGCCTAGCTGAGATTTAAAAAAAAAAAAAATGTAAAAAGATTATTGCCTTTTGAAAAGGAGCTATCCAGGGATTGGGATTTGAAAACTGCCAATACTATAAAATTTTAAATTCAAATATTAAGCAGCAGGAAAGAGACTCAGCTGAGGGAATGGGTTGGAGTTGTTAAGTATTTCTTTGTTTCTGTTTTACTTGCTAGACGCTGCATTCCTGGCCCGTGAGAAGGCAAAAGCAGATGCTGAGTATTATGCTGCACACAAATACGCCACCTCAAACAAGGTTACTAATCTTCGTACCACTTTCCTAGAGATAGTTTGTGTTGTGCTTTCCTTTTTCTAGGGCTCTCATTTGATAGAAGTGGTCACAAAAGGTAGTGACCAACCAATCATCCACAATCAGCCAACTGCTTAACAAGACAATTGTATATTCATTGGGTAAGGAACTTTGTCTAGTTCCTTATAAAAAGTATAGAAAGTAGGGTCTTCAACAAAATAAATACCAGGAAACAGTTACTGGTACGGTGGAAGGTAGGGCCAAGGGGAGGGAGTTAGGCAAATGAAGAGAGAAAATGAGGAAAATGCAGTCAAAATTCAATGCAGGCTGGGAATGTGGCTATTGGTAGAGTGCCTAGCATGCATGAAGCCCTGGGTTTAATTCCTCAGTACCACAAACAGAAAAAGACAGAAGTGGCCCTGTGGCTCAAGTGATAGAGTGCTAGCCTTGAGCAAAAATAGCTCAGGGACAGTGAATGCCTAGGCTCTGAGTTCAAGCCCCAGGACTGACAAAAAATTAAATAAAATTCAGTGCATATCCTACAAATTTAAGAACATTGAGGAAAAGGAGTAAGATTGAGGGGAGTGATTAGGGAGAATGATGAAAGGGGTGACATTGTTCAAGATGCATTGTATTCTTTTTTTTTTTGGTTGGTCATGGGACTTGAACTCTGGGCCTGAATGCTATCCCTCAGCTCTTCAGCTTAAGACTCTACCACTTGAGCCACTACACCACTTCCGGTTTTCGAGTGGTTTATTGGAGATAAGAGTCTCATGGACTTTCCTACCTGGGCTGGCTTTGAACTGCGGTCCTCAGATCTCAGCCTCCTGAGTAGCTAGTATTACAAGCATGAGCCACTAGTGTCCGGCATGCATTGTATTCTTTAAACTGCTTTGTTGAATAACAGCTCTATTAAAAAAAATTTTTTTTTAATAGGGACTAGCCAGGTACCATACCATGGCTCACACTTGCACTTTTAGCTATTCAGGAGGTTGAGACCTGGAAGAGTGGTTCAAAGAAACTCAGACAGAAAACTCCATGAGACTCCATCTCCAGTTAAACAGCAAAATGCTGAGCTGGAGGTGTGGCTCAGATGGTAGAATGCCACCCATTTGCAAGAATGCTGAGCAAGAGCTTGAAACTCTTGAATTCAGCCTCTGGTACTGTCACCAAAAAAAGTGGTAGTATATAAGCCAGGGAGGTAAGGGGAAGTATGGAGCAGGACAAAGGCAAACAGATATGTGAGTGCAGATCAAGTGCCAAAAGTCCATTCGGTTGTACTGTAGTCTATAAGAGCTCAGTAAAGTTGAAGATCTCCTGAAAGAGTGACAAGAAGAGTAAAGTTCATTTAGAATTGCTTTCCAGATAACTAACTAAACGGTTTCTTAAAGCCTTTTTAATGTAAGTTGGTACTGCGTAGCTTAAAGTTTTAACTTACCCTAAAAATGGGTAGAGGCTAAGTTTGTTTGGAGCAGTATCTGTTATGAGCTATATTCTTTCCATGTAGAGGTAAGATATTTTTTCATTGTTGAAGATAGTCTCAGGTATTGTGTGATATCTTGTACCCCTGACATCTTGAAATGTCTGTAGTGTTTTAACAGACACACTAAGGCACACACACACAGACACACACACACACACACACCCCTAAATGTTTCCAGTTGAACATTCTTGTTCATTAGATAAAAAAATGGTCAGTCTTGAGGAATTCCCTATATAGTAATTTGAGAAAGGAGGTTGGGTGATGTATAGATGAACATGTAAGGAATGGGTAAGTTAACTAAATAGCATAGAGTTAATTACAAGACAGCTAAAATCCTGATAAAATTCTGAGAAGGAAAAGGTATGTCCATAACATATAAGATTATTACCTTGAGGCAGGTAAAAGTTGAGTATAGTGACAGCTAAGGTATTTGATACAATTTGAAGGGTTAAAATTAAGATTTATCGTATAGATGGCATAAAGTTTTAACTTATAAAAGAGCAACACAGCCTGCATTTAGAAGAAATGATAAGATACAGTTTGTTGGCAGAATGTGAGTTGTCAGTACTTTGAAATCCAATATAGATTCAGAAATAAACTTTTAAAAAATGGAGGACATAGCTCTATAGAAATAAAGTAGAATTTGATACAGATAAAAACAAGATAGGAAACTTCAGTTTACAAACCTAGCAGTCCAAACTTGCAGTGAGAGAAGCTGACCAGACACAAATATCAAGACCTTGTTTTGAAAGAGTCAGTAGTTTTCTGACATTTTGAAAAAATTGCTACTTAGTACCAACTTATATTAAAAAGGCTTTAAGAAGGCTGGGAATGTGGCTCAGTGGTACAGTGCTTGCCTTGCATGCATGAGGCCCTGTGTTTGATTCCTCAGCACCACATAAGCAGAAAAAGCCTGAAGTGGCTCTGTGGCTCAAATGGTAGAGTGCTCTCCTTGAGCTGAAGAGCTGAAGTACAGCACCCAGGCCAGAGTTCAGGCCCCACAATCAACAAGAAAAAAAGAAACCATTTAGTTAGGTGCTATGAGCAGACATGATTGCAGTGTTTTAACAGGGTAAGAATTAATTGAAGAGAGTAGAGATCAAGAAGTACATGATACCAGAGGATAGAGAGGTACTGTGGGTGAGTAAAGGGCTTTTGCCTAAAAGATAGATTGGGCTCCACATGATTATTAGGGAAGATTCTGAGGAATTTTGAAAGGATATATTTTGAGGATGGATGAAAAAAAAAATGAGTGTCAGTCAAACCCAGAGAGATTTTGCTTGGTTGTATGTTGGCAGCATGATTTAAACAAAGCCAAACCCTGACAGAGAAGGAGATCTGAGAGTAGACAAAATGTGTATCACAGTTGAACAGCCAGCTTTTGAGTAAAGGCAAGATGCCAAGTTAGGTGATGAGATTTTTTTCACTTCTAGAATTCGATTAAGAAAAGCAGAGTTATAGCTCATTGTCATACCGTAAACTTAAGCCTTCTTTGGAAACTCAACACTCCTATCCATGTACCTGTGTACCTCTCAAAAGAATCAACAGAAATTCCAAATCAGTTCCAGGTTGAGTTCAGCTCCTTGAAATGAAAAGTATAGGTAAGAGTTCTTATATGCCCTAAGTTACTTTTAGAAAATCATTATCACTAGTTAGCATTATTTGTTCCCCAACCCCCCCCTTCTATAAAAGATGAATTTTAAGTAAACAACATTTCCAACAGTAAGATAGGAACTTCTTTTTTCTTCTGATACTGAGGATTGAGCTCAGGGCCTTATACAAGGGGTCTTTAACATTGGACCTATATCATGGCCCTTCAGTTTTTATTTTGATTTTGAAATAGGGTGTCACTAATAACAACCTGGCTTGCTTTCAACAATGGCTTTCCTGCCTGCCTCTGCCTCCCCAGTAGCTGATAATAGAAGAAAGTGTAAGTCAAAAACTTAGCCCTACTCTAGAGTAAGTGAAAGAGCATCATTGATGGGTAAGCATTCAGAATTGAGTCATGATATTCAAGAGAACAATAGGAGAAATGGTTATAGAGAAAAGGAGATGGCTGTGGCACAAGTGTCCTGATTCCTTTGCTCTTGTTTGCTTCCACACAGCACAAATTGACCCCTGAGTATCTGGAGCTCAAAAAGTACCAGGCCATTGCTTCTAACAGTAAGATCTACTTTGGCAGCAACATCCCTAACATGTTCGTGGACTCCTCTTGTGCGTTGAAATATTCAGGTGTTAGGACTGGAGGAGAAAGCTCTCTCCCCCATGAGGAGGCTCCGGAACCCTCTGGAGAGAGTGCAATCCAAAACAAGGAGAGCACAGGTTGATGCAAGAGGTGGAAATATTCCTTCATAAAGAAATGTGGCTTGGGGCTAACTGGGAATAGTGGTTTTATGGTCTCCTCAGATTTACAGAGAATTTGTGCTGTCTGTCCTGGCTCTCTTGTGATAGTCCTAGTTTGTCAGCTGATTGCAGGATAGAACAGGCTGTCTGACAGCCACCATTTTATCAAGTATCCTGTATGTGTATGTATTCCTTTCTAAACTGGTACTCATGAGTGAGGGAATGTCTAATGCTAAGATACTGCCTGCACTGGAATGTTAAACACTAAATATATAACAAGCTGTGTTTTTCTAAGCTGAGGTCTATTGAATAATGTTTAATAATGTTTACATTGGTCTCCGGGGATGTGTGTGCTCAAGCCATTCAAGAGATAGGAGAAGACTATCAAGACATGGTAAGTTAAAAAAGACTGATTACATCTGGGACCCAGACTCTCTTTGGGGTCCAGTCCTAGTGTTCCTCAATGTGATTAACATCCAGACTGCTGAGGTTCCCCAGAAAATGATCTTCCACTTGAGCAGTCATTTACTTGTTACAATTTGAACCTTTCTGCTTTCCTACAGACAAGTTGGTGGCCTACAGGGACATGCGCTTTGCCACCCAACTAGAAATTCCTAATCATTACTTATTTGAATTGATAGACTGAGATAAAGAGAGCTTGGTTTAAAGTTTTGAAGGAGATAAAACTTTGAACCAAAGCTCTAGGCCCTGCATTTCCCCCACTCCCCCCAGTCCTTTGGGTGATGACTGCCGGCATCACTGCCTCTGCTCATGTGTGACTAAGGTGCCTGGTTTTTTTAGCCACAGACAATTCTTTATATGTCACCTCTCAGCTCTGGCTGGCCAAGAATGTGAGAGGACTTCTACCGCACATAGGAATACATACAATTCCTAGTTAACTGCACAGTATTATGCCATTAATTGCAGGAAGTTTTCATTTTTAAAACTGGATTTGGGGTACAGTCATTTGCCCTAGCACTTCTGTCCAAGGCCAACTCCTAGGGCTGCCATGGTTACTAGCACACTGATTCTCCTTAACATTGTTCAGCGTGTGGAACACTTTTATTTTGTTTTTTGGTCCAGTTGTGGGGCCTGAACTCTGGGCCTGGCCGCTGTCCCTCAGCTCTTCAGCTCAAGGCTAGCGCTCTACCACTTGAGCCACAGCGCCACTTCTGGCTTTTTTCTTTTTGCTTATGTGGTGCTGAGGAATCGAACCCAGAGCCTCAGGCATGCAAGGCAAGCGCTCTACCACTGAGCCACCTTCCCAGCCCTGGAACACTTTTAGAAAGCATCTTTGGTAATCTTTTTCTCCTTCCTCCTGACCCTGGAATGCTGAAATCAAAGATGATTTGGTTTCACCTTATCTTTGAGATCTAGAGTCCACTGACTTCCTGGGCAGCCAGAGAATTTACTTTTTGTGAGAAGATGACAGAGTTAACCTGTGGCTATGCTAGATCTACTTCATCTGGATCTGTTTTTTGGTTTTTGCTTTTTCCTTTAGATTAACTTTCATGAACATTATACTGCAGTTAGGCCTGAGTTTGTATAGCTTGTTGATCTGTTGTGTATGCTGTTTTGAGGCCAGACAGAGAAGTCATGGGACCATTTCCAGAAATCTCTCAGCTGTCAGTCTCACCACAGTTGATGAGTTGTGCCAAACACTTTATTTGGGAAGGGAGAACCCAGATTTGAATGGGTCTTTTTTTCCTGGGCCTTATACTACAAAGGCATTTGTAATATGAAGAAAATTGGGTTTGGGTTATTTAATTACATAAATTCTCTTCATGAATGAATTTTGTGTTCTTTAGCCCTCTTTTAAAAAACTTTTGAATTATAAAAATAACCTCTTGTCATTATTGTTGCTGCAGATAAATAATGATTATTGTGGGAAATCTGGATCATTGAGCATTGTATTTTCATTCCTAGAGAGATTTCCTGTTCCTGTAAGTGAAATGCTGTTGGCCCAAAGCGATGGTGTGGGTTTTCTTACCAGCCACAAGCCCTGGTGGCAGGATTGAGGAGCAGGGAAGTGCATTGTGAAATATAAAAAAAGCACTTCCACTTAAACTCCCTGTGGAGTGAGCTTCCCTCTGCCCACTCAGTGAGTTGTGTAGCCATCCTTCAGGGATGTTTCTTTTGGTAAATATACACTGTAATCGAGGTTTAAATTTATATGTGAAATGCTACCTTTTTTAAAATAAGAAATGAAATAAAATTATTTTACTATCAGTGGTTGTATGTGTTTTGTGTTTCCCATATATCTTTATTCCCATGTATTTACATTTTCTCCTGTCTTGCTTACTTCAACTAGTTTACTTGCTGCTTGGCCCTAACTATAGAGGCTTATATACATTTTCCAAAATACAGCCTACTTGATATAAGAACTTTTAAAAAGGAAAAAAAAAAGCATCTCCACTCCTTCTTGACTTCTAGAATTTAACAGAAGTTATTCTGATTATGGGAGAGGGCCAGGCATAAAGTGGGAAGAGGAAAGACATGCCCTCTGGAGCCTTCTTTGAGAGCTTACATAATTTTATGTTCAGAAAGGGAGGAGACCATTATATTCACTATAAAAAAACAATTTGCATAATTGTACCTGTCAGTGATATGACATTATTAACTTCACTAATTCAAGTGTTATCAGTTCCTCAGGAAACCTTCCCTTGTAGGGATAACTTAGTACTGTTCAGCAGCAGGGAGTAGTAATTGGGAGTTTGGGGAAAAGCATCCCTTTATTTTGGGCTCTCTGAGATTCACCTTCATAGTTTCTTTCCACTTTCACTGCTGTATACTAGGGAATCTAAAAATTAAGACGAAGCGATATCTGCCCCTTCCTGCAGAGAAATGTTAGGATTTGAATATGAAGTGTCCCCAAAGGCTCATGTGTTAGGGTCTTGTACTCCATCTGGTGGTGTTATTATGGGAAGTTTCTAGAAACTTTAGGAACTGGCACCTAGGTGGAGAAAATAGGTCACTGAAGGTGGGCACTTCCTGTCCTTTGCTTCCTATACAGTAAGAAGTGAACCACTCCCACCTTTAATTTAATTTACCAAAGAACATCATTTTAAGTAATCAGTGGAATATCCTAAGACAAGAACACAGTTAATTCATTTAATTATCAGCTGTTGACTTCCAATATTATGTATAGGAAAACAAAAATTGACATATAAATAGAATACATTGTCTATACAGTAAAGAATACAGAATATAAAGTGAAATAGTACAGATTTGCAAAAGTGATAACATCTTAGTATTTCTTATGAAAACATGATTTCAGCAAAAAAAAAAAAACAACTTGGTTGCTTGGCTGCTTTTTAAATTATATAAGCTGAAGATATAGCTGTTCACGTATCCATCCAAATTCTTTCTTTCTTTTTTTTTTTTTTGGGGGTCCAGTCGTGGGGCCTGAACTCTGGGCCTGGGCGCTGTCCCTCAGCTCTTCAGCTCAAGGCTAGCGCTCTACCACTTGAGCCACAGTGCCACTTCCGGCTTTTTTCTTATGTGGTGCTGAGGAATCGAACCCAGGGCCTCAAGCATGCAAGGCAAGTGCTCTACCACTGAGCCACCTTCCCAGCCCCCCAAATTCTTTCTTAATGCATATAAAGTGATGAACGCTTTCATCATAGTTTTAAGAGTTTTATTTTTGTTTTTCCAAGTTTCCTAAGCTTTATTGCCCAAAGATAGTTCATTTTTGGAAGCTTTTATTTGCTTCAGAAACACATTTAAAATTAGTTTTTAAAAAGTTTCATGCAGGCATTGATGGCTCATGCCTGTATCCTAGCTACTCAGGAAGCTGAGGTCTGAGGATCTTGGTTTAAAGCCAGCCTTGAGCCAAGCGTCAGTGGTTCACACGTGTAATCCTAGCTGAGGCTAGAAGGCTGAGATCTGAGAATCACGTTCAAAGCTATCCCAGACAGGAAAGTCCGTAAGACTCACTCCAATTAACCACCAGAAAATGGGAAGTGTGCTAAGGCTCAAGTGATAGAACACGCATCTTGAGCCAGAGAGCTCAGGGACAGCGGATAGGCCCAGAGTTCAAGCCCCACGACCAACCAAAAAGAGTGAACCCTGAGGCTCCAATTAACCACCCAAAAGCAGCTAGAAGTGAAGGTGTATGGACCAAGGGTAGAATACCAACCTTGAATGAAAAAGCTAAGGAATAGTACCCAGGCCCTGAGTTCAAGCCCCACACATGAAATACAGGTTTTACAGTACTCTGGTTTTACATGAAATACCATGAAATACAGGTTTTACAGTACTCTGGTATATGTAAAAGTTTGTTTTGTTTTTATGAAATAATGATTGCTGATTTCTGAGTCCATTCTTTTGTGTGTTATATTTTGTCTGATTTACAGATCTTTGTGATATCTAGTACTAGGGGGTCATCTGGATTAGGATCACTAAGTAGAGAATATATAAACAATAACACTTGGGTCAAGGTAAGTGATCATTCACTCAGGGAGCCATGATAATACTTCCACTATTGTTTATATTTGGATGGTAAAATTTTGCGAAAGTAGTCTTTGGTGCTGTTAGAAAGATTGCACTACTATAGGTGCTATCAGGAGGCCCAATATAGTAGTTGCTTGCCAATGGAACAAGGCATCTCCCACAGATCAACTGAACAGTGAGCAGGTAAATTCTGTTGTATATCACTGAGTTCTTTCTGAATCTGATTCAGCACCTTTGGTCAGGGAGGGCAGTGGGGGACAGGGAACAGGAAGCTGCAGGGCTGGAGTGGTTGTGCAGGTTTTTCTCAGCTTCTGTGGGTATGGGGTCAAGCAGAGACCTTCTGGCACTGCCACTTTGGAAGACTGAGCAGGGAGTGTATAAGAAATCTACTTTCTTTCTGTTCAGTTTTCCTGTGAACCTAAAATCACGCTAGAAAAAGTCCTCTAAGAAAGCAGTAACATCAGATTCTATCTCAGCATTTTTTTTTAAGGTAGAGCAGAGTTTCAAGGTAGTTAATAAAGAGTTGGAATCATATGCTTATGCACACAGCAGCACGTTCATAATAGCCAAAAGGTGGAAATACCACAAATGTTCATGATAAATGGGTAGCAAAATGTGGTATAGACAAACATGGAATTTTTTTTGGTCTTAAAAGGAAAATCTGATACATGCTCCCACATGGATGAACTTTAACATAAGCCAATTGTGAAAAGGACAAACACTAGGATTCCACTTATACAAAGTTCTCAAATAGATTCATAGAGATAAAATGGAATTGTGAGCCAGGCACTCACACCTATCTATAATCCTAGCTACTCAGAATGCTGAGATCTGAGGATTAT